AGGGGGAGTGGGCGAGGGAGAGGCAGGCTTCCCGCCGAGCAGGGAGCCCGATGCGGGGCTCGATCCCAGGACTCTGGGACCATGACCTGAGCCGAAGGCAGACGCCTGATGACTGAGCCTCCCAGGCGCCCCATATGCTGTCCCTTTATTCCAATGCTTCATTGCCAGGACTAGATCCTATAGGAAAACATGACTTGTGTAAACACACACACACGCACGAACACATTCTAAGGACATTTATTGTACATTATTGTATATATAAAATATGACAGATATGTTAAGGATATTTATTATAGCATTCTCATATCAAAAAGTTGGAGATAGTCTAAATAGCCATCAATAAGGAAGTAAGTTGTCACCCCTATAAGACAATGTAACATGCGACCATTTGAAAAAATGAGTTTAGGTCTACAGTGTACTGATTGTTTAACAAAGTATATTTAAGGTGTTCGGTTTGATGTCATGTCTTATGCAAATTTTAGAATGCTTTTAATATCTGCTGAGTTGCAAAAGGAAGTTACCTGCTACACTGGCACTCTATCTTATTACCAACAAAATTGCTAGCTATTAGGTTTTTGGTTTTGGTTCCATTGAGCTTGAGTGTTCAAATGTTGGACCCTCAAATTGATCTGAATATTATCAAGAGATTTTGTATATCATCTTGTCCCATATTCTATATAAACATTTGATTTGATGATCCTTGTGCTATAAACCAAGATGTTCCTAATGCAGTGAATCTTCTTTTGAAGATACCTTGCATGCATGCTATTAGCCTTCCTTTTTAAAGAGAATATATTTCTATATGCACCACACCAAATTTTTCAACAGTGACTTCATATTATATAATTTATGAAAATTCAGTATACAAAATAGGAATATTTTCTGCATTCCAAACCCCTTATACTTCTCTTATAGAATTTTATTTTTTAAAATTTTTTAAATTGAAGTTAATTTTTTTAAAGATTTTATTTATTTATTTGACAGAGAGAGAGACAGCGAGAGAGGGAACACAAGCAGGGGGAGTGGGAGAGGGAGAAGCAGGCTTCCCACTGAGCAGGGAGCCCAATGTGGGGCTCGATCCCAGCACCCTGAGATCATGACCTGAGTGGAAGGCAGATGCTTAACTGACTGAGCCACCCAGGCGCTGCTTGACTGTGCACTCCTTATCAGGACGTTGGTATAGCAGAACCCATGTAAGACAGATCCTTCGGAGTGGACACTGAAGCATTTCTAGGTAAATAATCAGGCATAACAATAACAAACCCGAATTTCACAATACCGTATTCTCCTATGTCCAGTATTCCCCATGAGTTCTCAAAATTGCTAAATAAGAATGTTTTGTACCATATTTCTGAGATAGAGTTTGAACTGAAGGACAATGAAGGGTATTAATGTTGCGATACCAGGAATACTAGTTGGAGAGCCAAGCTAACCATCTAGGCAAAGCCTGACCTGGTGGTTCGTTGTGGGAAATGAGTCTAGTCCTCCTGTGGAAGGTCTAAATACTGGATCTTATCAGTTCACTTGGGTCCGGATACAGGGGAATACTCACACTAAGCAAAAATCACATGTTCGCTGTCTAGATTAAGTCTTTCTTGCGAATCCACATACCCGAGAATCTGAATTACCTTGCAGCTCTGGAAAAAGAACAGAGCACTACATGGTCCAATGTAGGTCATTTATGGTGGTCTGATGAATGTTCCATTCCTCATGAAAGTAAATCCCTCTGTGGTCTGATGAAATGGAGCCCCCAGAAAAGGTCTTTGGCTCATAAATTCTTATTATTTATTTCACCGACTCTAAGATCCACATCTTTATCATCTTTGGATGAAATCTGAGATTGCATGAACTATGGTAATTGCCCTCTTCTTACTCTCCATCAGACCTCTACCTTTCCCGAACCACTCACTGCATGTTGCAATGTATGCATTGCACATTGGCTGGGTTATGCTCCAGGCATGCAGATCCACTATGGTCGGTTGACCAGACAGAGAGATTTCCCGAATTGCCCTCAGCAGCACGGTCACAAATCTTCTTGCAGGTGGACTCACTTCTGCAGATGGCTAAGCTCTACCATTTTCTTCACATTTTTTTCACCTCCCTTTTAAACATCTAAACTAGCTCCACATACAAGATAACCTCTACCGCAGTGCTCAAGGGCATTTGGCAGTAAGATCCAAATTCCACATCAAGACTGCTCCTGCCCAGACGCCCCTCGTGCTTCCCATCTTGGTTTTCAGCTTTAGCCACGTGACAAACACTTCCTGATGGATTTTTACAAGAGTGGATATGTCATGTCATTGCCGCAAAATTTTAAGACATTAAAATGATCTAGTCTCAGGAGTTTTTCCATACAAGATTTAGTCACATAATATTGTCCTGGCTAAAGAACTTGCTATTTCCTTTCCCAGCCCTTTATTTAAGAACTTTGGTTATGGATGAAGCACAACATAAAACAAGTTTACCTAACAGAGCCTGCACCACCTAATCATAGATTACAGCTGGTGATAAAAGAAAAATAAGCACTTTACATATGATGACTCCAGAAAGAATTTAAATTACAAACCTAACTTGAAACCTCTTGGCTTTTATTAGACTATAGGACTGATAATATCCATCTGGAATATATAAATTACTATGTTCAGAGTCAGCACTTGACTCGTAATCAAATCCTCATGCTATTTAATCTGAGATGTTATCACTTTTAATAATCGGTAGGTGCTCTTTTCAATATAAATACACATTATATTTATACCTGTTTCAAAGAGGCATTTGAAAATTTAAAATCATGCCATAAATCCTGTTATCTTAAAAAGTAAAAATTATTTTAGCATATGAGATATTCAACTTTTAAGAAATGGAAGACTTTAAATGGTGTATTCCTTAGTTGTGGTTTAGAAAGGAGGAACACACTGGTTAGTATTTGTCTTGTGTCCTGCATGAGTTGTGTGCTTTTCTCGCTTTATAGATTACTGCCAACCACCCTGAGAAAAGCTCATTATCCAGTTTTTACTGGTGAGAAAAAAGAGGCTCAGAGGTGTTAAATAATTTGCCCAGTGTTCTAAAGCAACTAAATTTCAGGGAGTCTTTTTTCTTTTCTTTTCTTCCTTCCTTCCTCCCTTCCTTCCTTCCTTCCTTCCTTCCTTCCTTCCTTCCTTCACCTTCCTTCCTTCCTTCCCTCCTTCTTTCTTTTTAATGTTTATTCCCAAGGGCATGAGCTTTCCACTAAAAACCATCAATTAATTCATCATGTGATACAAAGAGCCTGGATTCAGTATGACAGATGCTTTGACAGTGCCCAACCCAGTTGTTATAGGCGAGAATATGATCTGAAATGAACAATTTTATAAGGCAGAACACCTGAGAGGTAAGCATGGGTAACTGACAACAAGAGAAGTGTTATGTACTTAATAGTTTCAAAAACAGTCATGCTCATAACTTGGTCTCCCAGACACTGAAATCTGAAATTCTGTGATGTGTTATAGCAAGGCTTCAAACAAAGAGGTTTTGTTCTGTTCATGTTTTTGTGGGAGGGTGGAACTATGCAGTCTATATCAGTCAACAAATGCTGCACAGAGCTGACCAATGACTCATGAAGTCTATGGTGAGCCCTCCCTCCTCAGTTTCAAAATACACACTTCGAACTGCATTAGTGAAAGAGCCAACAGCTTGTCACCGTCTTTTCACTACCTCGGCCTGGTCCTAACAAATTAGGTTTTTAATTTTACCTTGGAATTTTTCTCTTTATTTCAAAATTTTTATATGCATTGTGGTAAAAAAAAAAAAGTCACTTAAGAAAAGATAATTTATTATAGATTTATACATTTCTCTCTTTTAAAATACTTTTTGATTACATGGCAAAATTTCCCTCAAGAGACTTAGAAGTTCGATTTTGAAAACAAAAATCTATGTAGAGTCAAAGTAACTCTTTTTCTTCTCTCTTCATCTTCTCAAAGAAAAACAGACCTTTACAGAAGATCATGTTGGCATTGGTTACATTTTTTGGGGAAGGGGAGCCATTTGGGGCCTTCCATCTTTGTCTTTAAATACAAGAGTTGTATTAATGCTACAGTCATTTCCTTTTTGTATTCTGAGCTTCCGATATCAAACTAACTTCGTTTTCACATAATTATAAGAGAGAAAATCTTTTGTTTTCCTGTAGACCATATATTGAAATGCAAATATGGTATACTTAGTTCTAAAACCAGCAAATGACATACTGATGATGTTAGAAAAGATACTCACCATTGTCCATACATGATACATAATTTGAACAACCGTTTCATTATTACGCAGCTTCTCTCACTGTTGTAGAAACCTAGTAAAAATAAATTCCACACTACCTGTAGAGCTTAAAACTTAACGCCTGGATTCTGACCTTCATATTAAATAGAAATGTAGGCTGTTTAATCTCTGCAAAGATTTTTTTTTTTTTTTTTTTTGGTCCATGAAACGCCTACATCTGTGGCCAAGTGGCAGGTGTATGCAATTCATCAGGCCGCCCGCTTCCTTCCTATTATGGCTTTGCCCCTGGAGCCAAGGCTCATGAGGTCCTAAGCTTGGTTGCTTATTGCCAGGGTGCACTATTCCTCCTCCTGAGGCTGCCCTGTAGCACAGGGCGGAAGGCCAGGAAGGCGAGGGTCGCCGAGCTCTGGCTCTAACCTGGCGTGGGGAGGGTGTTCGTGTGAAAAGGAAGATGCTCTGGAATCCACGCCACCCCAACCCCCAAGTGCGCTGGCCTGGCGGGAGGCTGAGCACAGAGGCTCCGGAGAAAAGAAGGCGAGGAGAGCTTGGTGGCGTGGAGGCACCTCGCAGGGGTATCGAGACGGGTCCAGCTTTCGTGGGGACATTTCAGCGGCGGGCTGGCCCGCGGGCCGTCCGGGATAGAGCGCGCGGCGCCGAGCAGCAACGAGGCAGGCGGGCAGAGGCAGCGAGCCCGGTCCTGTTCCGCCGCGCCCCCCGCCCGCCGCTTCCCACGCTCCGCCCCCCCAGGGGTCGCCATGGCAACGGACGCCGGGTTCTGGACTCCCAACTGCCCCAAGCCTGCAGCTGCGCGGGAGGCGCCCCGGCGCAGCGGCCAGCCCCTGGCTCCGATGGAGAGCGAGGAGGACGCGTCGGAGAGAGAGGAGGACACGTCCAAGACCGAGGAATGCCGGAAGATCCTCGAGAACCTCGTGTCGACTCTGGAACAATTCCGGTTCAGCCCCAGATGACCCGCACGAGCCACCGCGGCCCGCGCAGCGCCACCTCCCCTTCCTTCGGGCCACGCGCCCCTTTCCCGCGCCTCCCGCCCGCGCTCCAGGCGCGGGAAATTGATTTCTTAAGTGCATTCACATAAACTGAGAACATGGACTCTGGAGCCAGAGTGCCTGGGTTCAAATCCTGCGACCCTCTACAGGGCCCCTGAGTTGGGCGAGTTCCTTAAAAACTTCTGTCGCAGTTACCTCGTGGGGAAACCGCCGTGTCGGTGGTGGTCGGTGTAGCTGAGAGTGAACACGAAAGGGGTGCATGTGCGTACTGTGTGTAGACGAGCGCCGTACACATATACACAGAGTACCCTGTAGGTGTTTGCCAACGTCGTTGTTATCCCTTGATCCTTTCTTCACATTTCCTCCCTTTCATCATCCTTTGCCCCCCTCTGCCCATATTGTGTCTGTTCGGATAACATAGAGCTGATGAGCCTGGAAAAATGTGTTTTTCCTTCCAAAAACCCTTTAAGATCAGTAAGTGGCCAGCACTAGGTTAGCTACTGTGCAAGCACTTAGAGTTCCCTAAGTCAAGGGCTTCATGGTGCCTGGTAGGCCGGCTTGGAGAGGCAAGCCCGGCACACTGAGGCTCCGGAGTGAGAAGAAAGGACCAGCACGGTACTTGCCCCATGGTGGAGACTGACCCAGTGAGACAATGCTGCCAGCTCAGCGTAAGTGGGTGCATTTGTGAAAATAGATCAGGGAGACACAGGCCCTGGTTTATTGGGGGTTGTGGAAAGCACATATTGGCAATGGCCCATAATAACACCATGGGCACAGTGTCTAACCTGTTCTGCTTGTTTACTGCTAGGAATGACTTCCTGCCTTGGATTCCTTGGCATTGCCTGGTGTGGAGCTCACCAGCAAAACACACTGGCTGCGCTCAGTGGGCAAAATGACAGTGCCAGGTGCTCAGTTAATACGTGGTGCCTGAACAAAGGAACCACTGATGCCAATGTTAATCCCCCCCCCCCCCCCCCGGCCCCGGGCTAGGGGGGCTGTGTTGGTGCTCTGGGAGGAATGGGAGAGGCTGGAATAGGGATGCAGTCCTGGGTTTCGGGCAGAGTGTGGCCCTGGGCAAGCAGCAATCTACAAACCAACTGAAGGCCCGCCTTTGTCAAGTTTACATTCTAGTCAGGAAACCAATGATAAGCAAGGAAACTATGTAATAAAGAAGTTAGTGGTGTGTGCTAAGGAAGGAACAGCAGGGAGGGAGCAGAGGAACTGGTGTGTGGAGCAGGGAAGTGGACTGTAATTTTAGACACTGTGGTCGAGGAAAGCTTCTCAGAGATGATGTTGGGGTGAAGACCTGCAGGCTTGATGGAGGAACCATTCTGATCTATCAGGGAACAAAGTGTTCCCGCGAAAGAACAGGAAGCAGGAAGGGGTGGGCCTGGATGTCTCAGGCTCAGCAAGGAGCCTTGTGTGGCTGGAGCAGAGGGAGAAGGGGAGAGCTGCGGAGAGGTCAGAGGTAAGGGGACAGTGCCAGACAGTGGCCCTGACTAGGTGTCCTACAGTTTAACTCAATTCTCTGCTACCCAGAGACAGCGTCAGATCGCACAGGTGAAGGGCCCAGTCCCACAAGACTGCCCCCTCCTCCTTCAGATGCCAATCGCAAATCCAGGTTGTTACCTGTGCTTCTCACCATTCAGCCTGAAGTTAGAGATTCTTATAACCCCTGCTGTGGGTTCAATTAATTTGCTAGAGCCACTCATAGAACTCAGAAAACCAATTTACCTACGGGGTGGCTGGTTTATTACAAAGAATATTGGAGGACACAAATGAATGGCCAGATAAAGAGATTCTTAGAGTGAGGTCTTGAAGGATCTGGAGCACAGAAGCTTCTGTCCCCATGGAATTTGGAGTGTGCCATCCTCCTGGCACCTGGATGGGTTCTGCTTCACCCCCCCAGAAGCACGCTGAAACTTGTAGTTCAGAATTTTTTTATGGAGGCTTCATTACATAGGCCGAATTGATGAAATCATTGGCTTTTGGTGATTGAGTCTACCTCCTGCCCCTCCAGAAGTGGATGTGGCAGTGGGACTGACACGTCCCACCCTCTAATTGTGGTTGGTTTCCCTGGCAACCAGCCTCCATCCTTAGGGGCTTTCCCAAAATGCCCCCATTAACATCGACTCAGATGTGGTTCAAAGGAGTTTGTTATGAATTACAAAAGACCCACAGTTCACCTTTTTTCCACAGGGAGACTATTTCAGGAACTGAGGACAAAATACCAAATATAACAAAAGATGATCCCATTGCTCCAGTCACTTAGGAAATTCCAAGGATCTTGGGAGCTTTGAGGCAGGAACTGTGGATGAAGACCAAAATATAGATTTCTTAGTATAAATCACACTATCAAAATGGGAAGCCGTGAAGGGGGATTGGTGCAGAGGAATGATTTGATATGATTAATCTATCAACAGGATTACTCTGGCTGCTGTTTTGATAATAAATTATAATGGAGATAAGGGCAGAAACAGGGAAACCAGTTAGGAGATGGGGGGAAATAATTTTTCCTTTACCCGTGTAGGTTCTGGGATGAGACCAACCCCATGATAAAAGACAGACTAATAGGGGAGGAACAAACAGAAATTTAATAGCTTGTATGCCTCTTGTATACGTGGCAGATACCCAGGAAAATTGAGTAACTCCCCAAAATGGCCCAAGCCACCACCTTAAATGCCAACACCTAAAGACAAGGGATGGAGATTGGATAGGGGGAGGGGAGTCAGTTATGGAAAGTTGCCAGGAAAAGCACAGTAAGCAAAACTATGGCTGTTTCACAGATTGGTGCCTTATTTCAGTCCTTGATTTTCTTTCTCTTGACTTTTACTATCTTGTATATTCTAATGATCTTCAGGTTTATATCTCCAGCCCAAATCTCTCTGCATAAGTCCAGACCTACATATCAAACTGCCTATTTGATAGCTCTTTGGGATAGCTATTGGGTATTACGAACTTAACATGTCCAAAATCGAACTACTGATATTCTTTAATACCTGCCCTTCTTGTCTTTCCTAATTGAGTTAATGACAGTTCTTCCAGTTGCTCTGCCAGAAAACTTGGTATCATCTTTGACTCGTGTCTTTTTCTTTTCCATACATGTCACATCTAATCTGTCAGCAGATCTTGTCAGGTCTTCCTTCAAAATATATCCAGAACCCAAACACATCTTCCATGACCAAGCCACTATCATCTGTTGTGTGTATAAGTGTAATAATTAACTAATTGGTCTTCTTGTTTGTTCTTTTGTCTTTTCTCTGTTTCCATTAATTCTAAACACAGTGGATCTATTAAAACATAAGTCAGATTATGTCTTCCTCTGCTCAAAACCTAATTGCCTCCTATTTCACTCAGAGTACATGCCAAAGTTCTTTCTAACACCTACAAGGCCTTGTATGATCTGTTCATCTTGGTCTCTCCCTATCCCTTACTGCCTCACTCCTATTTTCTGTCCCTTTCACACTGTCCAGCCACACTGAATTTCTCACTTTTTTTCCCCTCACTATAAACACTTCGAGCATCCCTCTGTACTTGCTGTTGACTCTAACTGGAGTGCTTTTCCCTCCAATACCCTCATGCCTTGCTTGCTCCTTGCTCCTTCCTTTCCCCCCCCCCTTCAATTTTTTGCTTAAAAGTTACTTTCTTAGCAAGGCCTTTCTTGGTTATCCTGATTACCTCTTTCCCTACAGCACATCAAAATTTGATTTCTCTGCTTTAGTTTTTCTCCTCTAGTACTATCTTGCCTGTGTAGTTTATTGTTATTGTGTTTACTTCACTCATGAGTAGGATTTTTATCTGTTCATCGCCATGTCCTCAGTGCCTAGAAAATGTTCTAGCATATATAGTTCTATTAAACAAATGTTTATTGAGTGAATGGAGTTTAACCTGCATGTATTGTTTTTTAACATCATACTAACTCTCACTTAAACAAAAAGAAAGTTTGATATGGGTCCATTCTGACAATTTAATCTTTCAGTTGTATGCATTTTTTTTTATTTTGGGGGGGCCAATATTGTGGTTACTTGCTATTTATTCTTTTACTGGTATTTAGGTTAGTTTTAATTATGGTAAAATGGATCAGAGGAATAGCAAACTTCATTTATATTTTATTAAGGAAACTGAAATATGGTGGTAAATTATAGGACTTTAAAAATTCCTGCCAAAGGATTATAAGCCCTCAATATCTGAAATAAAAAGATGAAGTTGGAATTTATTGCCTACTAGTAAGATAGACCTATGCTGGTCACTTACAGTCTTTTCTGACAGAGCAGTCTGCTATTCTTATATAGGGTTTTGGGAAGAGTAGAATGGAAGGTTTGGGGGACTTTCAGAGAATTAAGTGGTTTGTCATCATCTGAAACACCATGGTAATTTGGGTGAGACTGTTGTTGATTGGTTGGCACATGAGGCACGTGTATGGAATGGTTTTGTCTCCTATTGGCTTTCTTTTAGAAGGGAGGAGCTGACACTGCTTGGTGGGTGAGTGAGGCCAGTGGGCATTGATCAGTCGCACACATTTAAAACTGGTTGTGGTGGCTTCTTGTTCCCATGGCTTCATATTTGGGTTCCGCCCCCCAAGTTTGAGGTGACTTTAACTAGACGTTTTCTATTTAATAGTTGCTTCTATCAACTGTGTTCAAAAAGGAAGCTATTTCATATTCTGTAATTATAGATTTATTTTTGAGATTTGGGTTAAGAAGAATTGTTTAATAATTGCCTTCAGGAAGATCCTTCTTTTTTGGATGTTAAATTTTAACTAGAAGAGTTATCTGTGTAACAGTTTTAAAACAATAATTGCTGGCTCTGTTTTTGTTTTCAGTGCTCTTAGGGGCTCATGTTCAATTCCTAAATTAATTATTTCCTTTGGGAAATTTCAGTCTTTTGTAAATTTATGTAGCTATATGCTGCTCATATTCTCTTGCATACATTTAGTCCATGAAAAAGTAATTATAATTTTCTGTTGGTAAATCTAGCTTTTTATATTAGGGTTAAATACTAGGCTAAAAGTATACAAAAGTTACCAAATCATTTTCTTTAAAAAAATTAATTTTTTAAAAATTTATTTGTAAGAGAGAGAGAGAAAGAGAGCAAGAGTGAGCGCACAAGCAGGAGGGAGGGACAGAGGGAGAGGTAGAAGCTCAGTGGGGAGCCTGGTGCAGGGCTAGATCCCAGGACCTGGAGATTATGACCTGAGCCGAACGCAGACACTTAACCGACTGAGCCACCCAGGCACCCCCAAATCATTTTATTTTCAAACAAAATTAACCAGGTTATTGCTATTTTTGAGTGATATATATAGTGACATATGAGTATTTTTGAATTTTCTGCAGATTTATTGAGGTATAATTGACAGATAACTGTGTAAGTCTAAGGTATACCTATATTAATTTAATACACTTTTATATAGTAAAATGGTAATAGTGTTAATAACTCCATCATCTCACATAATTATCATTTCTTTTTTAGCAACTCTCTTAGCGACTTTCAAATATATAATACAGTATTGTTAACTGTAATCACCATTCTGTACATTAGATCCTCAGAACTTACTACTCTTGTAACAGGAAGTTTGTATCCTTTGGCCAATATCTACCCATTTCCCACAGCCTCCTACCCCTGGCATGCACCAGGATGTAAATTTGTTTTTGTTTTTGTTTAAGTTTCTACATGTAAGTCAGATCATACAGTATTTGTCTTTTTGTGTGACTTATTTCATTTAGCATAATTCCCTCCAGGTTCATTTATGTTGTTGCAAATGGCAAGGTTTCCCTCTTTTTTGTGGCTAAAATATTCCGTTGTAAATATATACCACATGTTTTAAACCCATGGATCCATTGATGGACACTCAGGTTGCTTCCCTGTCCTGGCTATTGTAAATAATGCTGCAGTAAACAGGGGTGCAGATACCTCTTCGAGATAATGATTTCATTTCCATCAGAAATGTTCCCAGAAATGGGATTATTGTGTCATATGATAGTTCTATTTTTAGTTTTTTGAGGAACCTCCACAGTGTTTTGCATAGTGGCTGTACCAATTTACAGTCCCATAACAGTGTGCAAGGATTCCCTTTTCTGTACATCTTTGCCAGTGGTATCTCTTGTCTTTTTGATGAAAGCCATTTAACAGGTGTGAGGTGATAGATATATCATTGTGGTTTTGATTTGCGTTTCCCTGATGAATAGTGATGTTGAGCCCCTTTTTTGGTACCGTTGGCCATTTGAGTATCTTCTGAGGAGAGCTGTCTATTAAGGTGCTTTGCTGAGTTTTTATTTGAATTATTTGTTTTTTGCTGTTGAATTGTGTGATCTCCTTACATATTTTAGATATTAACCTTTTTTCAGATATGTGGTTTGCAGATATTTTCTTCCATTCTGTAGGTTGCCTTTTCATTATGTTACTTGTTTCTTTTTTGTTTTTTAGATTTTATTTAAATTCAAGTTAGTTAACCTATATTGTATTATTAGTTTCAGGGCTGGACTTTAGTGATTCATCACTTGCATGTAATACCCAATGCTCATCACAAGTGCCCTCCCTGATGCCCATCACCCAGTTACAGCATCTTCCCACCCACCTCCCCTCCAGCAGCCCTCAGTTTGTTTCCTATAGTTAAGAGTCTCTTATGGTTTGCCTCCCTCTCTGTTTTTAACTTATTTTTCCCTTCCTTCCCCTATACTTGATGTAAATGGAACTAGAGTGTTGCTTGTTTCTTTTGCTGTGGAGAAACATTGTTCCATTGTTTTTGCTTTTGTTGCTTGTACTTTGGATGTCATATCCAAAATCATTGCCAAGATCAATGTCAGGGAGTGGTTTCCCTGTTTTCTTGTAGGAGTTTTATGGCTTAAGGTTGTCCATTTAAGTCTTTAATCCAGTTTGGGTTAATTTTTGTGAGTGATGTAAGTTAGGGGTCCAGTTTCATTCTTTTGCATGTGAATATCCAGTTTTCTCAGCATCATTTATTGAAGAGATTATCTTTTCTTCTTTAAGTGTTCTTGACTATATGCATGGGTTTATTTTTGGGTTCTTGATTCTGTTTCATTGGTCTTTGTGTTTGTTTGTTTGTTTGTTTATTTATTTATTTATTTATTTATTTATTTTATTCTTATGTTAATCCCCATACATTACATCATTAGTTTTAGATGAAGTGTTCCATGATTCATTGTTTGTGCATAACACCCAGTGCTCCATGCAGAACGTGCCCTCCTCAATACCCACCACCAGGCTAACCCATCCTCCCACCCCCCTCCCCTCTAGAACCCCGTTTGTTTTTCAGAGTACACCGTCTCTCATGGTTCGTCTACCCCTCCGATTTCCCCCGCTTCACTCTTCCCCTCCCGCTACCCTCTTCTTCTTCTTTTTTTTTTTTTCTTAACATATATTGCATTATTTGTTTCAGAGGTACAGATCTGAGATTCAACAGTCTTGCACAATTCACAGCGCTTACCAGAGCACATACCCTCCCCAGTGTCTATCACCCAGTCTTTGTGTTTGTTTGATGCAAGTTCCATATACTGTTTTGGTGACTATAGCTTGGTAACAGTTTGAAAACAGGAAGTGTGATGCTTCCACCTTTGTTGTTCTTTCTCAGGACTGCTTTGGCGGTTTGGGGTCTTTTTTGTTCCATACAAATTTAAGGATTGTTTTTCCTATTTCTGTGAGAAATGTCACTGGAATTTTGACAGAGATTGCATTGAATCTGTAGATGGCTTTGAATAATGTGGATATATAATATTAATTTTTCAAATCCATAAACAATGAGATATCTTCCTGTTTGTGTCTCTGCTCTTTCTTTAAACAAAGACTTGTAGTTTTTAGTGTACATATCTTTCACCTCCTTGATTGGATAATTTGAAAGTCTGAAAATTTGAAAATTTTAAATTCACAGACTTTTTTTTTTATCCATTTTAGTGTCAGTGATTTCTATTGCCTTTTTGCATTTCATTCACTCTATTATTCAGCTCCGGAATTTTTGTTTAATTCTATTTTACTATTTCCAGCTCTTTTTCAAAAAAAGATGTTTATTTATTTATTTGAGAGAGAGAGAGATAGAGAGCAAGTCAGGGGAGGGACAGAGAGAGGGTGAGAGAATCTCAAGCATACCCGGAGCTCAATCCCACGACCCTGAGATCATGACCTGAGCCGAAATCAAGAGGCAGACACTTAACTGACTGAGCGACCCAGGTGCCCTTCCAATGCTTTACTAAATTTCTCGTTTTATTCATATAGTGTTTTTCTCATTTTATTGAATTGGCTTTTTTTTTTTTAAGATTTTATTTATTTATTTTAGAGAGAACATGTGTGTGAGTGGGGGGAATGGCAGAGGGAGAGAGACAAGCAGACTCTGCACTGAGCGTAAGCAGGATGCATAGCTGGATCTCATGACCTGAGAGAAAATCAAGAGTCAGATGCTTAACTGACTGAGCCACCCAGGCACCCCTGAATTGGCTTTTTGTGTTTTCTTGTAGCTCATTAAGTTTCCTTAAAACTGCTCTTTTGAATTCTTTTTTGGATAAATTACAGATCTCCATGTGTTTGAGATCAATTACTGGAAGATTTGGTGTCATATATCCTTGACTTTTTATATTCTTTGAAGTTTGGCATTGCTGTCTTTGCTTTTGAAATAGCCTTTAACGACTACCTTTCCAATGTGTCCAAGCCTGATTTTTTTTTTTTTGCTCTGGTGGTGTGCTGGAACTTTTCTGCAGGAAATCTGGTTTTCCAAAAAGTCTCTCTCATCCATGGGTGATTATCTAAGACAGTGTTTTCCAGGGGCTTCCAGATGTGGCTGAGAGGAAGGGGCTGGAACCAGTTTATGGGCTATTGCTGGGTCCACAGCTGGACATGTAGTGAGTGTGCCTGTTACCCGATGCATGGGTAGGCAAGACTTTTCCTAGGTCCCTTGGTGTATGGTCCTTGATTCCACAGCTCCTACAAAGAGATCCATAGCAGTTTTGTCCCCACAAATGACATTGTATTGTAATTGTATATTTACCTGTCTTTGAAGCAAGGGATGTGTATTTCCTTGTATATGGTTGGATTTCATAACTGTTCTGTGAATTAATAAATGTTCATTGAGATGGGTAACAGAATTTTACAAAAAATATTGTTTTTATTTTTTACCAGTAAAATTATTAGAAAACATTGGCTTTTTAATGGATATTCTAATTGGATTTTTTAAAGTAGTGATCCTGGTTTGCATATGAAGGGAGTAAGGAAAGAGGAAAATGAAAAATGGACATCAAAAGTATCTGTGATTACACCAGGGCTTGAGAAGGCTGATTCCCTACCTTCTCGTCCACCACAAGTGAATGATGACAGCACTTCAATTGAAATGGATCAGGATGAAGTAAGGTAAAATCTATAAATTCTTTATTTCCCTCTGAAGGAAGTTTAGCAGTGATTACTTTTTATGGAAATAAAACGCTGTCGTGTATGTACAGGCTAAGGCAAGAAATACTCAAGTATATCAGATACACTGCTTGAAAAGTTAAGATGAGGACAAGTGACTTTGACAAGGAGCAGTTTCAATAGTCACCATGGAAGCTGGACTGTAATGAAAAAGTATAAACAACTCCTTAGAGAATTTTTATGCGGAAAGGTAATAGAGAAATGGATGATAACTGAAAAAGAATGTGGAATTCAAGGGAATTTTCTTTCTTTTTTAATTTTAAGATGGGATCTTTTAGAGTACATTTGTATGCTGCTGGAAATGATCCGATAGAGATAGACATGGTTATTTAATTTTGTTTGCATTTCCAAATATTAGAAAGCTTATTGATTGTATTACATTATCTTTTTTTTTTAAGATATTTTATTTTTTATTTGACAGAGAGAGAGTACAAGCAGGGGGAGCGGCAGGCAGAGGCAGAGGGAGAGGGAGAAGTAGGCTCCCTCCCAGCCAGCAGGGAGCCCGATGTGGAACTTGATTCCAGGATCCCGGGATCATGACCTGAGCCGAAGGCAGACGCCTAACGAGTAAGCCACCCAGGCGCCCCTATTTTAAGATTTTTTTATTTGCTTGACACAGAGAGAGAGAATGCACAAGCAAGGGGAGTGGCAGGCTGAGGGAGAGGGACAAGCAGGCTCCCCGCCGAGCAGGGAGCCTGATGTGGGACTCGATCCCAGGACCCCGGGACCATGACCTGAGCCGAAGGCAGATGCTTAATGACTGAGACACCTAGGCTCCCCTGTATTACATTATCTTTTAAAGATTACAGTAATTGTCCCTAGTATTCCTATTCATGTAGTTTTGTGGCAAGAGGTTGTTTTTTTGGTTTGGGGGGGGTTTGGATTTTATTCATTTGACAGACAGAGACATAGCGAGAGAGGAAACACAAGCAGGGGGAGTGGGAGAGGGAAAAGCAGACTCCCGCTGAACAGGGAGCCTGATGTGGGGCTTGATCCCAGCACCCTGGGACCATGACCTGAGCCGAAGGCAGATGCTTAACGACTGAGCCACCCAGGTCCCTGTGGCAAGAAGTTGTTGATTCAGAATTGGTTCCCCAGTGGAGTATTCTCATATAATTGAATGTGCAGAGAGTATCATTCATAGACTTAGAAGTATATAAATGATAGTAAATATACAAACTCTTAGGCCATTCTGAGTAGAACTAATCATTCCTTGATGATTTTAGATATTCAGTGCCTTTGACAGAATCATGAATAGCTATGGTTTTGTTAGGGACTTTGAAGTATCTGGTTGCATTAAGTTAATATTTGTTTCGATTCTGGGGAAAGGGGAAAGACTTTATTTATAATTGAAAAATAAACTATTATTCTATCATAGATTATTACTTTTAGATTATAAAGTTCTAAATGACAAAAGCCATGGTTCCTGTACCAACAGTGTCATTGACACATATTGTGTGCTCAGTAAGTATATATTTGTGAATAAACAGTTGAATAAATAGATGAATGCCATTGATGAACTTCTTCAGAAGAAGCAGATCTTTAGTTTATGGAAAGTAGATTTTCAATATTGCCTAGGTATGAAGTCTTTTTATTTTAAAAAAATATGTGTAAGATCCATAAATTATTATTTATAATTATAGCTAGAAATGGAATAATAGTAGATTCATTTGCTGTCATATCACTTGGAAACACTTAAATGTTACTTTCACCACATATTGTAAAACACACGTTTTGAAGGCACATATCCTGGATTTGAATTCTGGGTCTACTCCTGACCAGCTGTATGGGCTTGGGGAAGTTAATTATTTCTGTGCCTCATTTTCTTCCTGTGTAAAATGCCTAATATAATTACCTATGTTTATAAGATTGTTGTGAGGCTTAAAATACTTTTAAGATGTGTAAGGTGTTCATAGTAATGCATAGTAGTTGTACAGTAAATCCTCAAAACACTAGTATCATGATTATTAAAATAGGGTTTCTTTCATATAAGAACTTAACTTGCACTTTCCCAAGTGTTTAGATCCAATAAAAGCTTGTTTTTATTGAAAATGACAACAAAAAATGTGGTATATTTCTTCGTATCAAATAATGCAAGTAACATTATGCTTTTCCTTTGCTTTATGTCCATTTGATCTAAATTTAATGCTTTGTTAATATTATTAATATTTTTTAGATATGATTTAGATATTCTTTGTATTTTAAGTATTTAATACTTGCCTGAAAAGAATTGTTTTTTTTTAGACGTGCAAAGAAAACATCTCATGGAAAGAAAGAGGTAAAAAAATATGCATAATTCTATTTCACTTATTTTTTAATTTTCACTTTATTATATTACTTTGATAAATAATATTTATTAAAAATATTATTCCATGGTAAAAAATTACTTTAGGAAGTACATAGTGAAAACCTAGAAAATCTTCCTTTGTTGTATAGACATTTATTGTGAAAAAGTTTTTCAGAAGTAGTAATTATTGATAAAGGTCATTGTGATAAAAATCAGTTCTTTTAAAAAGTACCTATGTTTAAAAAAAAAAAAAGTACCTATGTTTTTGCTCTTATAAAAAGATGGGTATTTATCATCTCTCTACACTTAGTATATTTTATGAATATTTGGGGGACATTTTGAAATAGTATTTTTTATTTGTAGGTCAAAAAGCAAATTAATTTTATGGATGACCTTGACTTAACGGAGTCATCTGGAACAGCTTCAGAGGATTCCAAGTTGCCTTGCTCTAAGTATATGAGTTGCAAGTCGCTAATTGTACCAGTTGGCCAGGATCGTAAAGGTAGGACCATTGTATAAGTAGAAAGCCTTTGTATGTATATTACTGTAGCAATATGTGCCCATCTTGTATAGTGCTGTACCACACAACACTCATGAGCTACTCATCTCAGAAATATGTTTTATATGAGAATAGAGAACTGTTGAATACTCTCAGCCAAAGGCTATAATTTCCACTCTATGTTTTGTCATGGGAATGACACACCTGATGTGTTGTTAACTCCGCTTCTCTTCTGTGCCGTCACCCAAGGTCAGGTTACCATTATTTTTCTCCTAGAATACTGAAATAACCTCAGGACTGTTTTCCCTGTCATTCCACCTCCCAGAATCTTGGTCTACACTGCAACCAGTTATCATAATCTTTAAAAATTCATGTTTCATCACGTTACTCCCTTGCTTAAAGCTTCGCTATTACTTCTCATTGCTCTAAGGTGAAAGACCACAGTACTCTAGCTTCATCTTGTGTTGTTTCATATCCTTCTTCTTCTTCTTTTTTTTATTTTAAAGATTTTATTTATTTGACAGAGAGAGACACAGCAAGAGAGGGAACACAAGCAGGGAGAGTGAGAGAGGGAGAAGCAGGCTCCCCGCCGAACAGGAAGCCCGATGCGGGGCTCGATCCCAGGACTCTGGGATCATGACCTGAGCTGAAGGCAGATGCTTAACGACTGAGCCACCCAGGCGCCCATGTTTCATATCCTTCTTTCCATCTGTGTCTCAGCCACTGTTTTAGTTGTTTTTTCCTATAATAGAGCTTTTTTTTCCCCCAACAGCTTTAGTTAGGTAAACTGCACATATATGAAGTGTATAATTTGATAGTTTTGACATATGTATATGCATATGAGACCATAACCGTAATTCAGGCAGTCAACATATCTATCACCCGTAAGTCTCATGTCTCTATATTCCCTTGTTACGAAACTGCCAAATTGTTTTCTAAAGTAGTTGTACCATTTTCCATTCCCACCAGCAGTGTATGAAAGTTCTAATTTCACCCTGTATATTCATGAACACTTAGTATTGTCAGTTTTTTAAATCTTAGCCATTCTGATGGGTATGTAATATATATATAATTATGGTTTTAATATACATTTCCCTAATAACTGTTAATGTTGAGCATATTTTCATGTGCTTATTTGCCATCTGTATATCTGCTTTGAACTATCCAAATCCTTTGTCATTTTAAAAATTAGGTTGTTTTCATATTTGTTGAGTTTTGAGAATTCTTTGTATATTCTAGATATAGTTCCTTTATCACCTATATATATTTTTTAAGATTTTATTTATTAATTTGACGGGGAGAGAGACAGCTAGAGAGGGAACACAAGCAGGGGTAGTGGGTGAGGGAGAAGCAGACTCTCCACTGAGCAGGAAACTCAATGTGGGGTTCGATCCCAGGACCCCAGGATAATAACCTGAGCCAAAGGCAGACACTAAACAACTGAGCCACCCAGGCGCCCCTCACCTATATTTTTTTGTAAAGATTTTCTCCCAATCTGTGACTTTTCATTGTCTCAACAGTGTCTTTTGAAGAGCAGTTTTTCTTTTTGATGAAATCCAGTTTATCCATTTGTTCTTCTATGGATTTTTGCTTTCGGTGTTCCTATCTAAGAAATCTTTGCCTAGCACAAAGTCAGAGGTTTTCTCTCATGCTTTCTTTTAGAAGTTTCGTAGTTTAAAAACGAAGTTTTATAGTTTTAGGTCTTACCTTTAGATCTGTGATCCATGTGATCCATGTCATCCATTTTGTATTCTTTTTTTTAATGATTTTATTTATTTATTTGACAGCGAGAGAGAGAGCATGAGCAGGGGGAATGGCAGGCTGAGGGAGAGGGAGAAGCAGGCTCCCCGCTGAGCAGAGAGCTGGACATGGGGCTCGATCCCAGGACCCTGGGATCATGACCTGAGCCAAGGCAGACACTCAACCGAGACACCAAGGCACCCCCATTTTGTATTCTTTTTTTTGCTTATGATGAAAGGTATGGATCCACGTTCATGCTTTTTGCGTATGGATATCCAGTTGTTCCAGCACCATTTGTTGAAAAGGCTATATTTTCTCCACTTCATGCCATTGTGTCTTTGTCAGGATCAGTTGACCATATGTGTGTGGTTTTTTTTTTTTTTTTAAAGATTTTATTTATTTATTTGAGAGAGAGAGCACATGAGAGGGGGGAGGGTCAGAGGGAGATGCAGACTCCCTGCCGAGCAGGGAGCCGGATGCGGGACTTGATCCAGGGACTCCAGGATCATGACCTGAGCCGAAGGCAGTCGCTTAACCAACTGAGCCATCCAGGCGCCCCTCTGTGTGGTTTTATTTATGGACTCTATTCTGTCCCATTGATCTCTTTGGCCTTCTTGATGTCAATATCATGCTGTTTTAATTACTACCAGTTTATGATAATTTTTGAAATCAGGTAGTTAGTGTTAGTCCTCCAGTTTTGTTCTTTTTCAGGGTTCTTTTGCAATTCTATTCTAGATCCTTTGTGTTTCCAGAACATGAATTGTATTTATTTTATTTATTTATGTTTTCCACATGAATTTTAGAGTCAGCTTCTCATTTTCTAAAAAAAAAAAAAAAAAAAAACAACTCTGGTGGTCTTCTGGAGATCAGGTTTGGATTAGGTTGAATCTACAGATTAATTTTAATAATATTGAATTTTTCAACCCCGAACAGATTATCTCTCTCCATTTTTATAAGTCTTTAATTTTCTTGGTAATATTTTGTAGTTTTTAGTGTATAGTTATTTTTATCTTTTATGATATTACCTGTCATTATTTTTTATTTTTCAATGCAGTTTCAATTTTTTAATTAATTAAAATTAATTTTTAATTCTTAAGTTTTAATTTTTTTGTTGCTAATATGTAGAAATACAGTTGATTTTTGTATAATGATTCTTTGTCCTCCAAAGTTGATGAGTTCATTTATTAGTTCTAGTAGCTTTTTAAAAAATTCTGTCAGATTTTCTACATAACCAAAGGTTATCAAACTTCACTGTTTTACTAATTTCTTAAGGTGGAGCCAAAGGTCATCAATTTGAGACTTTTCTTCTTTTTTAATATATACATTCAGTGTTGTAAATGCTCATATGAGTGCTAGTATAGCAGGGTTTCAGAAATTCTAATATGTTATGTGTATTCAGTTCGGAATACATTCTAATTTCTTTTTTTCAGTACTTCATTGACCCAGGGGTTATTTAAAGATTTTATTTATTTGAGAGAGAGAGAGAGAGAGCCTGAGCTCGAGGAGAAGCAGCCTCTCCTCTGAGCAGGGAGCCAAATGTGGGGCTGATCCCAGGACCCTGAGATCATGACCTGAGCTGAAGGCAGACGCTTCATCAACTGAGCCACCCAGGTGCCCTGACCTAGGGGTTATTCAGATGTGTGTTAATTAGTTTGTGATCGCAGAGCACACTTTTATGACTTCAGTCCTTTTGACTGACTCCTTTTATTACAATTTATTTTATGACCCAAAATATAGTCTCTTTTGGTAAGTGTTCCATGGATACTTGAGAAGAATGGTGGTGTTCCAGTCTACTATACCCTTGCTGATTTTCTGCCTATTGAAATCTCAGACTATAACTGTGAATTTGCCTGTTTCTCTAGTTCTCTAATTCTCTAATTCTATCAATTTTTGCTTTCTGTATTTTTGAACCTATTAATAGATGCATAAACATTTAGGTTTGTTATGCTTCTTTTAATTGACCCTTCTATCATTATAAAATGACCTTATTTATTGCTGCTAGTGTTTTTTGCTTTGAAATCTATTTTGTCTGGTATTAATATAGCCACTCAGGCTCAGCCTTCTTTTGTCAAGTTGTTAGTGTGGTCTGTCATATTTCTGGCCTTTTAAAAAATGTGTGTCTCTACACTTAAAGCATATTTTTTTAATAGGTTGCATACAGTTGGGTCTTCCTTTTTCATCCATTTTGACAGTCTGCCTTTTAATTGAGGCTTTTAGACCATTTTCATTTAATGTGATTATTGAGGTCGTTGATTTGAATCTGTCATCGTGTTGTGTGACTTCCATTTGTCCTTTCTGCTTTTTGCTCCTATTCTCTTCCTTTTCTGCTGTCTTTTAAATTAATCAAGTAATTTTTATGATTTAGTTTTATTTATGTGAGTATGTATATGTATGTATTTTGCTTACTCTAGCTATAACTCTTTAGTTGTGCTATTTTAGTGATTAGGGTTTAAAGTATATGACTTAAGCATCACAGTCCACCTTTGAGTAATGTTATGCCCCATCATAGTAATTTAAGAAAACTATAATGGCTTACTTCCATTTCTTCTCTCCTAGCCAGATTCTTCTGGATCTGTGGGATGATAGTTTTCATTATTTAGAAAGGTTTTGGTCATTTTTTCTTTTCTTTTTTAAAGATTTTATTCATTTATTTGAGAGAAGGAGAGTGAGAGTGTACGAGCGGGGGACGGGGCGGGGCAGAGGGAGAAGCAGACTCCCCAGTAAGCAGGGAGTCTGACACGGGGCTTGATCCCAGGACCCTGAGATCATGACCTGAGCTGATGGCAGACACTTAACCGACTGAGCCACCCAGGCACCCCTAAAATATCTTTTATATTGAAGTCATTCAGTATATAATTGTTTAAAGTATGAGTGAGTGAATGTGAAAGCACACAGTCCTTTATATGCAAAAAGTACTCACATATTTTATTTCTTTTTTTTTAAAGATAAATTATTTGAGAGAAAGAGAGCATGAGTGGGGGGTGGGAGAGAAGAACAGAGGGGAAGTCGGGGGAAGAACCTCAAGCAGACTCCGTGCTGTGTGTGGAGCCTGACGTGAGGCTCGATCCCACGACTCTGAGATTATGACCTGTGCTGAAACCAAGAGTTGGATGCTTAACCAACTGAGCCACCTAGGTGCCCTATATATCTTATTTGTTTTTTCTCTGATGTAGATTCTACTACTTTACTAAAAATCCAGGATGCGATTCTTTTGTATAAAAAATTAGTAGAACTTAAAAAAAATCAGTGTAAACAACTTAAAAGAAAAAATAAAGAAATGGAAAATAAGATTAATGGACTACAAAAGGAGCTATCAGAAACAAAAGAGTTGAAATTGCAGTTGGAGCATCAAAAAGTGAAATGGGAACAAGAACTTAGCGATTTGAGGTATGACATCTTGGTTTTAAGGAAATAGTTGAACTATTTACCTTTTTTTTTTTTAATAGGCTCCACACCCAATGAGGGGCTTGAACTCACAGCTGTGAGGTCAAGAGTTGCATGCTCTACCAACTGAGCCAGCCAGGTGCCCCTTGAACTCTTTACTTTTGTACTACAGATGTGTAGGAGAAGTTTGATAATTGCTAACTTACCTTCTGGAATTTTTATTTTTATTTTTATTTTTTTAATTTTTTAATTTTTTTAATTTTTAAAGATTTTTATTTATTTATTTGAGAGAGAGAATGAGATAGAGAGCATGAGAGGGAGGAGGGTCAGAGGGAGAAGCAGACTCGCTGCCGAGCAGGGAGCCCGATGCGGGACTCGATCCTGGGACTCCAGGATCACGATCTGAGCCGAAGGCAGTCGCTTAACCAACTGAGCCACCCAGGCGCCCCCTTCTGGAATTTTTATAGGGAAGAAAACGTCTTTAGTAGTGTGAAGTATGAGATTCTTCAAAATAATTTAGCAAGTTCTTGACAGTGAATACTTCTACTGATAATTTAATGTATATTCCAAATCATAATTTTAATGACCATATAGAAGTACACCATATGGAATCCTCATTATTTAACAAATTGCATTTTGGTTATTTTCCATTTTTCTATACTTTAATTAATGCTGTAAGGAATGTTTTATATAAATCTGTTTCTACAATTCTGGTTACTTGGAATAAATTCTTCAATACCGTATTGTTTGCTTAAAGTATAAAAATTTTTAAAGGAGGTCTTTGATCCTATTTTTAAATTGTTCTCTGGGAAGTTTATATTAATTTATATGCCCATCAACAGAGTATGAAATGGCCATTTTTCTCAAGACAGGAAAAATTTTAAAAATTTGTTCAGTTTTAAACATACGCAGTGATTAAAAAGTAAAATGGAAAATGATTACTGCTAAGTTTTCTCAATATCTCTCTTATAAATAAATCCAAAAGTCTGTGTGGTAAGCACATATGACTCTTTATTGTTTCCTTAATTAATATGGATCCTGTGTTCTAAAAGGGGTTTTCAAATGATTTATAAAATGGATAATCGGGGTGCCTGGGTGGCTCAGTTGGTTAAGGGTCTGCCTTCGGCTCAGGTCATGATCCCAGGGTCCTGGGATTGAGCCCTTGATCTCTGCTCGGTGGGGAGCCTACTTCTCCCTCTCCCTCTGCCTGCTGCTCCCTCTGCTTGTGCTCTCTCTCTCTGTCAAATAAATAAATAAAATCTTTTAAAAAAGTAAAATGAATAATAATCAACAAGGTAAATTGACAATATTGCAGAAGAAGAAACGTAAAATGTATAGGGCTATCTATATAAAATGTATAGATATTAGACTCCCCAGCCTAGTCCTGGATCACCATAATCTGCAGGTGTATGTTGTGTAAATGACATCTGCAGATGCTGTCTTATACTGCAAATTATTTTTGGAGGTACCTGTGATGTTTTGTGAAGTAGAAATTTACTTCTAGTGAATTTATAAACTTTCTTATAAGGAGCAACTTCTCTTTTTATTTAGTAACTAAATTATCTGTTCTAATGGAGGAGTAATTATGACTATATGGGGAAAATGATAATTTTTAATTCTAACTTTCTTGAAAAATTTCAAAATTCCTTTCTCTACAATATCTACCAGAGTTAGTACTAAAACTTATTACTAAACTGCATAACGCTTTCTCATTACTTCTTTTCAACTATATATATCTTTTGGAAGAGATTGAAGTGAGAAAGTAAACATGAGCCTGAGAAAGGAAAAAAATTGAGAACATAGAAATTTCATTTGGATAATAAATCAACATATGTGGAACCAGATCATAAAATGAACTTTCTATTACTTACAAAACATTTTTAAATAAGCACATTTATTTGCAGATTTACCTTCAAACAAGAAGAAAAAAAAAGAAGAAATGCTGATAAATTATATGAAAAAATGAGGGCGCAATTCAGAGAAAAAGAAGAGCAGTATAATAAAGAAGTTGAAATGAAACAACAACTTGAACATACTCTTGCAACAGTAGGTGTGGAATTGAGGACTGTAAGGAATAATTTGGATCAGGTAAATCTTTGATAAAAATTGCATATTTCCATCAATATTATTTATAATATACCCTTGATTTAATGTATATTATTTAGGTATAAAATAGATAAAAAATTTAATTTTATTCTAATAGGAACTATAATATTTTTAGTTAAAATTATTAACTTATTGGAATTCTTGGCTTCTCATATATGCTCTCTCTCTATTTTCTGAATGAAGGGATAGAAGGTAAATTGAGATAAATGTGAAGGTTGGCTTTTTTTTTTAAGATTTTATTTATTTTTAGAGAGAGAGCATGAGCAAGGGAAGGAGCAAATGGGGAGGGAGAGGGAGGGAAAAGAATCTCAAGCAGACTCTGCGCTGAATGAAGAGCCCGACTCAGGGTTGGATCTTACAACCCTGAGACCATGACCTGGGCCAAAACCAAGGGTAGGACACTTAAGCAACTGAACCACCCAGGCACCCCAGTTTTGGATTTTTTATGTTAAAATACAGGCTAAATCGCCTTGAGACTATGATGGAACTGGTTAAATGTTTTGTAAAGAAATTTTATTTTCACATACTTTATCTTCTTGTATTTTTACCTTATGACAAATTTAGCTGTCATTTAAATTAAAATTTGAGTTATTCATGCAGGATAAAAATCCTTGTATTTAAAAAGGCTACTTCTTTTGAACATTATTTTTAAGTTCTCTTAAACTTTTGAATTTTTTTAAAAAGATTTTATTTATTTATTTGGCAGAGAGATAGAGAGAGAGCACAAGTAGGCAGAGAGGCAGGCAGAGGGAGAGGGAGAAGCAGACTCTCCACCGAGCAGGAAGCCCGACGTGGGGCTCGATCCCAGGGCCCTGCGATCATGACCTGAGCTGAAGGCAGCCGCTTAACCGACTGAGCCACCCAGGCGCCCCTGACTTTTGTCTTTGTAATGGTGTGATCCAAAATCCTAATGAAAATATGTCTCTAGGTTGTAGAGGAGCGAAATGACGCTAAGTTACAACTTTCTCGAGAACAGAATGCCAGAGTATTACAAGATGGAATTCTAAAGAATCACCTTTGCAAACAAAAGGAGATTGAAGTGGGTAATAACAGAATGAATTCTGGGGTATTTTCTTTAGTTATTTTTAAGTACATGTGTGTATGTATTTGTATGTATATACATTTTATTTTCTGAAATTATTATTTTTTCTCCATGTATGCATACATATAAATTAAAAACCAACACTGTAGATCATGGAAAGCATAGAGGATTTTTAAAACATATATATATATGTGTGTGTGTGTGTGTGTGTGTGTGTGTGTGTGTATTTGGGGGCCATAGGGGGTGGTGACATTTTTGGTCCAGTGGATAAAGTAATATCCTTAATTTAAATGCGTTTGTCTGCAAGAGTCAAATAGTGACATTCATCATGTCCTCATCCAAAGGAGAGGCTTTTATTATTTTCCATAAGAATTGTTGAACTTTCCATATGCTCAAAACTATTGCTACTAACAACATATGTTTCAATTTTTGGCAGTTGCTTCATCACCTCTGTATTGAAAGAGAAGCTAGCTTAACACTGCCACTGATGAACAGGAGAAGAGTGTAGCCTGTTGAGAGACTTTCTTTTGGATTTAGTCTCTACTTTTGAGAAAAGTAGCAATTTGCTCCAAGTAGTATCCTATTTCATTACAAGGCGCTTTTGAAACAATTATATGCTAATGACAACTTATTGATGAGTGTTTTATTCCTAATAAAATAGCTCCGTGTATTTTCCCCTATTTTAAACATTTTAAACATCATGAAGAGGAAGTTAAACTTATTGCAGCAGCAAATAATCTCATGATTTTTCTAAGAGCTGTACAAATTTTACCTTATGTACCATCAGTATTTTGAAATATAAGGCTTCTATTGTATGTATGATTTACACTAGAGAAGAGCTGTGGTTTGGTGTAAGAGCACTAGTAGTGGAGTGAGAAGACCTGGGGAAAGTCCTGCAGCTCACTTAATGTTTTTAACCTCTCCATTCTAGAATTGTGATAACTAAAAAGTTCACTGATGTCGGTAGAAGTGTTTATAGTATAGTGACTGGATTTGTCAGTTATCAGTAGATGTAATTCTTATATGTGACTATAGAAATGTTAGAAAAGTAGAATTTGTATGGAATATTGCCAGGAAAAAAGAATTTTAGGAAATTGAATCTGTCAAAATAAAGGCAGAGCTCTGGATTTTATCGTGGGGTAGCTGTGTCAGATATCAGAGTGTAAATTCAATTTTTAGTGTAATCAGATTTATTAATCTTTTATGTCAGGCTTTCTGGGTTTGTTGTAAATCAGAGAAAGACCTTTGCAGGTCTGAGATTCTTAAAAATTGTGTCTTGCTTTCTTTTCTCCTTTCATGCATTCACTGTCTTCAATTAAATTTTTGAAACTTTGGGAATTTATGCTTGTATCAAGTTTGAGGTTTGGACCCAACTTTATTTTTTTCCAGTTGGGATATCCACTTACTGCAACCTGTTCATTGTATAAACACAGGTTTTTCTTTAATTTCAGAGAAAATCAGGATAATGTCATTTTATTGAGTTCCAGCTAAAAGTCTCCTTTGTTTTACTTAGATTTCTAATAGTCATAAAGAAGAAAAAGATCTGTTGCCTAAAACCCACATGTGGCAGGATGAAATTGCCATGCTAAGACTGGAAATAGACACAATAAACAGTAAGAACCAGGAAATGGAAAAGAAATATTGTGAAGACATTGAAATTATAAAAGAAAATGTCAGTCTTCTAAAGGCCATAAAACTGAATGAGGAAACATTAACAAAAACAATATTAGAATATAGTGGACAGATTGATGCTCTGACCACTGAGAATACAATGCTAAAGTCTAAACTGGAGAATGAAAAGCAAAACAAAGAAAGACTGGACACACAAGTTGAATCATATCGAGCTAGACTAGCTACTGCTCTAGAGGATTATGATCAAAGTCAGGCGTCAAAAAGAGACCTAGAACTTGCTTTCTGGAGAGCAAAAGATGAATGGTTTTGTCTGCAGGACAAACTGAATTTTGATGTGTCTAACCTAAAAGAAAATAATGAGCTTCTTTCTCAAAACCTTTCTAAAGCTGAAAGTGAATTCAATACTTTAGAAATTGAGCTCCATCACACAAGAGATGCTCTCAGGGAAAAGACTTTGGTTCTAGAATGTGTACAGAGAGACCTAAGTCAAACACAGTGTCAGAAAAAGGAAATGGAACACATGTATCAAAATGAACAAGATCAAGTGAATAAATACATTGGAAAGCAGGAATCCTTAGTGGAGAGATTATCTCAACTACAAAGTGAAAATATGTTGCTTCAACAGCATCTAGATGATGCTCACAACAAAGCTGCCAGTAAAGAACATGTAGTAATTAATATCCAAGACCAGTTTCAGGGTATCATAAAAAAACTTCAAGCTGAAAGTGAAAAACAAGGTCTTTTGCTGGAAGCAAGCAATAGAGAGTTAATCAATGAATGCAATCTTTTAAAAGAAAGAATGTATCAGTATGAAAAGGAGAAAGTAGAAAGAGAAGTTAGTATCCAGAAAGATAAATATTTTTGAAGCTTTCTAAGAGAAAATTCAAAGTAATATTTGATTATTATTATTATTTTTTTTTTAGAGAGAAAGAGTGCACCTGCACAAGAATGGGAGTGGGGCAGAGGGAGAGGGAGAGAGAATCCCAAGAGGGCTCCACATCAGAGAACTCCGCCTCATGACCCCGAGATCGTGACCTGAATGATTATGGCTGAATTTTGAATCTAGTTGAACATAAAAAATATATAGACTATAATTCAGCATAACTTATATCCAGCAAATAAAAATTAGACTTGAGAGGGGCTTTAATTTGAATAAAATTGTTGTGTCATCTATGAAAGTTTAAGAGGTTAAGTTATAAATTGTTAATAGTAGGCTGATACTAATAATTTAGTCTTATACTGCTAAAATAATAATTTTAATCTTTGTCACCACATTTTAATACCATGATGAACAGATAAATGGAAATGTTCATACCTGCAATGAGCATGTTGAAATTGAGATTCAATTAAGTGGATTCACTTGACGGTTTACTCCAGATTTCCCACATGAACTGAAGTGTAGACGCTGTATCTCAGTACTTTTCCTTTGGTAGCTTTTTATACATTTTAGGTTGAAATAATTTTATTTTTATTTATATAAATTTGAATTTTTAGTCTGAAATCGTGTGTCTTATGACCTTTTAACTCTTTGCAGGCACTTTTCATTAAATCATAATTTGGGACAACTATGGTGAGCTTTAGCAAAACTGTTTGATTTAATCTTCCCACTGCTATTTATAATTTTTTAAGGCAATTTTACAAATAATTTGCTTATTTCAAAGCTCAATGACTATCATTTGGGCATAAGTTTGTCCAATACAAAGAGAATTGTATCTGTAATATTTTAATTTGGCATTGGATCTCCATTTTCAGACTAATGAGGGGTGGCAGGATTCTTGTACTGTAGCAGGAATGGAGGCCAGGGAGGGAGGTGAAAGCCAGGTTATCTAGGGCCTTGAAGCCCATTAGCATGACTTCACTTTTGTTCTGAGATAGTAATCTATTGGAAGGATTTGAGCAGAGGATTGAATATGTGAGGAACTTTGACATTAATTTAAGCCTCTAATAAAAAAGAGGGAAACCATGTCATCATGTAGAATTTACCACTGCTAGGCCCACCTGTATACCCATTTCTTTTTGAGACTTCAGTAGGGTGGGAAGCTTTGCAGATTCATCAACAAGGAATGGAGAGTGGGGCTGAATTAATTATCTAAGTAACATAACACTGACTAGGCAGGAGGATAACACCTGTATGTGGTGATATTTTTCGAAGTACATATGTTAGAGTTATATATTATTAATATAACTTAATAGTAAGATAATTTATAAAATCAGTAGCAGAAACGTCTTATTAGGTAGCTGTGAGACACCTTCAACTAGAACTGGCTGATGCCCTAAAAAAACAATCTATGTCAGAGGCTTCGCTGGAGGTTACATCACGTTGCCGTATTAATTTAGAAGATGAGACACAGGATTTGAGGAAGAAATTAGGTCAAATCAGAAGTCAGGTATTTATTAAATGTAGCATGTCAACAGTTAATCTGTACCAGGTTAATACAAAGTGTTTTAGGATGCTAATTTCTATGAACCATTTTCTTTTGTATTTTCATTATAATTTAGTGTAATTTTAGTATCTTCACAATGCACTTATTTCTTAAACTTTGACTTTCATTCTGCTATTTGTGTTATACATTTTTTTTTCTTACAGTATTTACCCTTAGGAAAGGTGAGACTTATGCATCATTCCTCACAGAAATTGAGGGACTTTTTTTTCCTACTAAACAACTTTTTTAAAGATTTATGTATTATTTGAGAGAGAGCGAGAGTGCGTGCGCAGGCACACGCGTGAATGGGTGGAGAGGCAGAGGGAGAGGGAGAGAATCTCGAGCAGACTCCCTGCCCAGCACAGAGCCCCACGCCTGCTCGATTCCATGATCCTGAGCTGAAATCATGAGTTGGATGCTTAACCAACTGAGCCACCCAGGTGCAATGTTTTTTAATGATATCTCTGTTACCATGATGAGGTGAGCCATACAAAATCAGAAGATAATCCTTAATGGAATGTTTCAGACAATGGTCTTATTTCTCATGTTCACTTTTATGAACGGATATAGAATCTGTACTGATTTTAGGATAACTTGTACAGAAAAGTCATTTTACAAACCAGTTGAACTTAGGCATTTCCTTCATTTTCTTTTCCTTTTAGATATATTGTAAATGCATAGAAATAGTCAGATCATGTGTAGTATATACACCCAAAAGAGAGAATTAAGAAATTAAGAATGGGTCCTGCCATTGTTTTTTGTTTTTTTTTTTTTTAAGATTTTCTTTATTTGACAGAGAGAGACACAGCGAGAGAAGGAACACAAGCAGGGGGAGTGGGCAAGGGAGAAGCAGGCTTCCCGCCGAGCAAGGAGCCTGATGTGGGGCTTGATCCCAGGACCCTGGGACCATGACCTGAGCCGAAGGCAGCCACTTAATGACTGAGCCACCCAGGCGCCCCCATTGGATTTTTTAAAAACTTTATTGAGATATAATGCCCATACCATACAATTCACCCAGTTAACATGTATAGTTCAGTGTTTCTGATCATATTCATAGAGTTGTGCAACTATCACTGCCATCAAGTAGAACATTTTCATCACCCTGAAAAGAAACCCTTAGCCCTTGAGCCCCCAGCCTCAGGCAACCACCAGTCTACTTTCAGCCTCTATAGAGTTGCCTATTCTGAATATTTCATATAAAGGGGGTCACACAATGTGTGGTCCTTTGTGACTAGCTTCTTTTACTTAATGTTTTCAGGGTTCATCTGTGTTATAGCATATATCAGTGCTTCATTTTTTTTTTTAATTGTCCAACAGTACTCCATTGTGGGCCAAAACCCTTGTTCATTCATCATTTGATGCACCTTTGGGTTGTTTCCCACTTTATGGCCATTAATAATGCTGCTCTGAACGTTGATTTAATTGTTGTCTGGACATCTGTTTTTATTTCCCTGCCATCAGATTTTATCCTCTGAGTTAATTGGATTGATTTCACCATCTCTCAGCCTTTTACTCATGCTGTCCTTTCTGTCCTCTTAGTTTCCCTTCCTCTTGCCTAGTCCTACACTATTCAGACCTGGCTCATAGTCTCTCATTCTCCAGGAAGCTCTCTCTGACTATTCTAATTCCCACTGACTTTACTCTCTTCACACGTGTCTCATGTAGTCTATGCAGAACAATTTAGTCCACAATTTAGTCCTTTATTTTACATTGGTTTTATTTTTTTCGTGAGAGATAATTTTGTCTTTCTAAGTACACATTTATCTAAGGGGGAAAATATGGGATATGCATGGTACCTATCCTTGTATAAATTGAGAATATTTTAACTTAACAGTGTTTAGGATAAAATTAAGTACATTATACCATATCAATAATTTCTGATTGAAAACATTGACATAACAAAGCTTTTATTCTAAATGTATTTTAAGCAATTAAATGTAAAATTGAAAGCATTTAATCTGACAGAGGAGAAGTGTTCAATCAAATGTTTGTTTTTCCCCCTCACTGTGGAAAAACAGCTATATTTGCCTTTCTTCATTTTGCAGCCAGTACTGAGATTACTTTACCAACTATAAAGCTCCGGGCAAAGCTTTTCTTTTTTCTTTTTTTTTTTTTTAACCTTTCTTTTTTAAAGTTTGTTTGTTTGTGTATTTATTTATGTAATTTCTACACCCATCGTGGGGCTTGAACTCATGAGGACAAGGTCAAGAGTCGCATGTTCTTACCACTGAGCCAGCCAGGCGCCCCCGGGGACAGTTTTTTCTGATATGCCATACCACGTAGCCTTAATGTATTCATCAGAGTACTTGCTAAAGCAGTGTAACACAGACAGTTGCTAAGATAATATAAACATGAAATGATTTGGGAATGTTGATTTAGCAAGAGTCCATTATTTCCACGTCAGTGGCTTTACCTTGCCTCTGATGGTCATGTAAATATTTATTACTCAGTCTAGGAGGTACTATTTGCCCTGTAGTCCATGAGATTGTCCACTGAGTAGTATAGAGAGGCAGTAAGTTAAAATTATTATAAGTGGAAAAAAGTACTGTTAGCTAGTGGAATTGGTAAAAGTTTTTGAAGTATGGAGGATGTATTCTGGGCCTCATGCTCCCCATTTGCTGCCACTTTCAGTGGTGTGAAGAACGATTTCAGTGTAACTTGTATAAGAGACCACTTTCATTGGCCTACCATCTGCCTAAAATATGAAATATTATTAGAACATAACCTACAGCAACAACAATAATGCTAATTGCAGACAGAATCTGGTATGTGCCACATACCCTTCTAAATAGTTCATGTATAGGGGCACCTGGGTGGCTCAGTCGTTAAGCGTCTGCCTTCGGCTCAGGTCATGATCCCAAGGTCCTGGGATCGAGCCCCGCATCGGGCTCCCTGCTCGGCGGGAAGCCTGCTTCTCCCTCTCCCACTCCCCCTGCTTGTGTCCCCTCTCTCGCTGTTTCTCTCTCTCTGTCAAATAAATACAATCTTTAAAAAATAAAAATAAAAATAAATAGTTCATGTATACTTCCTAAATTAATCTTCCCAACATCCCAGTGTGTAGATACTATTTTTATCTTCATTTTACGAAGAAGAAACTGAGACACAGAAATTTTAAGTAATTTGTTCAGGTCACACAGCTAATACCCAGTGTTCAGACCCCAGGCATTCTGGTTCCTACGAAGATAATGCCTCTCATACTATTCCATGAAATATCTAGTTGTCACTGAAAGCAACATGTTAACTTTTATAATCACTGGAACAGCCATGGTCATTCACATATGTGAATATTTAAAAGTAGAATGGATGTGGTACTTCGAATACAAAAACAGAAATGTTTACCATAAGGTAATTTCGTATCTTTCCCCCTTTGACCAATATATAAATTTGTAGGTTTAGCTGATAAAATATAATTTAAAAACATTAAAAACGTGACATTTTAGTAACTAGAGAAGTCAGCAAACTTTTCTGTAAGGGGATTGTAAATATTTTATTTTATTTTAAGATTTTATTTATTTGAGAGAGAGAAGGAACAGCGGGGAAGGGCAGAGGGAGAGAGAGAGAGAGAAGCAGACTCCCTGTAAATATTTTAGGCTTCGTAGGCCATAGGTCTCTGTTGCAGCAGTTCAAATCTGCTGTAGCCATAAAGCAGTATGTAGAGGAGAGTGTGGCTGTGTCCACTAAAATTTTATTTACAAAAACAGCTGATGGTGGTTTTATACTAGATTGCCAGTAGTTAAAAGTATTTCTTTTTTTTTTCTTTTTTAGTTGCAAGAAGCACAAGATCGACATGCAGAGGCTGTAAGATGTATTGAGACGTCGAAAGATCACGTGCAAAAGTACAATTTAAAGCAGCACAGAAAATACTTGAGTATTTATAAAGCAGAGAAGCAGTGTAGGATGAGAAATATATCAGTTATGATAATAAGTACATCATTGTTAAGCTGGATAAAACTTCCAGCTTTGCGCTATTTGGAAATGCATAAATTTTGCATATTATCTTTAAATTTTGCACATTAACTATAAAACACAACCAGAAAAATGGCACAATTGCCAAATCTTCTACTTTTTAAATTTTTAAGAATTTATGTAAGACCGTCAGATGTTTGTTTAGAAATTATACGGTACTTTTAAAATTTATGTGTGAGAATAATTTTAAAATATTCATTTTAGGCTTGAAGTTGAAAATGCCAAGTTAAAAGTTACAGTCAAAAAACAAGCGTGCAAAATTGAACAACTTCAGGAAAACCTGTTAAGTACAAGTTTGGTAAGTCAGTCTCTTAATTTCTGTCCTACTGAAAAGGAATTTTTATTTCTCTAGTAGTAGTATATAAGACCATTTTGGATAATATGAAAATTCTCACTAATAAAAATGTTTATTGTATTCATATTGTTGCTACTTGCTACTGGTAGTATAATTCCTCTTTATAGATGAAGTTGACTGAATTCATAAATTAATAATTTTTATAGTAAGATTGTAATAAAAAAGATTGTGGTAGTCTAAGATAAGCAATATTTTATACATACCACATTTTATTTATCTATCTGGCAGTGGACAATTGAGTTTTTCTACCTTTTGGCTACTGTTAGTAATGCTGCTGTGAATATTGGCATACAAACGTCCGAGTCCCTACTAATATTTTTCAGTATGTTTAAAAAACCGAAACTTTGAGTCATAATTTGATATTGAATTCTGACTTTCTCTTGTAATCTAAACCCTTCCGTGAGATTTGAGAATGGATTACTTTCATGATAATTTGTTGTGATTTGTAATTATAAATTTGTAATTTGTTGACTTCATCAAGAATGACTACTAGATCATTATGCAAACATTTTTCTCAAAGGAATATATTTTTCTCTTTGTTGGATTTTGAAAAGGAAAAGAGATGCCAGTGAAAAAGTGGAAATGACTGCTCAATCAGGGCCTTACATAGTAACATAGTGCTCCTAGCATTCACTGCAAGTTCAGGAACTTTTTTTTTTTTTTCATTAATTTGAGTTAATCAGCCTTTCAGAGATTTAGCAATCGAATCTCAGAAAAGATTAATGTGCAATCCGGGATTACAACTTATTGATACGTAGTGCAAACTATATAACTATTTACCAAGCAGAACCGGATTATCATGCCATTTATACCCTCCTTCATAGGAGAGGCTACCAATGATTTAAGATGAGAAGACTGCATTGTGAGTCCTAGGTTGGATCAATGAGGTAGATGCACCTACCACTAGTTTCTTTTAGTCACAGAAGCTGCATCCTTGCAAATTTCATTATACAGCTATACCTATCAGGGGAAGTAGCACATTCTGTTGACTGGTCCTTTTTGTGGCCAAAGAAACATCGAAAGTTTCTAAAGTCAGACGATCATCAAAACTGTAATGGGGACTGCATGGGAATCAAAAATTATTTTTTTTCTAGATTTCCTATAAATTAGTCACATTGTATTACTATAGTTTTCATTGAGCAAGTAAGGTGACGATATGTGAATGAGAATGCCAGGAGTTGTCCCCCTACGGTGTCATATAGAAATCTATTAAGGAAGCTATCAAATCTTGTAAAGTTTGTAAGAATATCCGTAGGTATTCTGTAGATTCCAATGGAAATGAATTAGGGTTGTGACATAAAATTATTAGCCACTTTAAGGTCTACCCTGTGAAACAAACACTTAGCTTTCAACCAACTCAGTCCATAGTCCTAACATCTCTAGAAGGATTTTATCTCATGAATCCCCAGGCCAGAGACTACCTGGGTTAAGATATTTGATGGACATAGTTTTGAGGTGAAGTCTGGATTGGGAAGAAGAGATAGCTCTAGGCTGACTTAAGCTTCCAAACAATATAGTCAAGTATGTGTCTGAAAAGAACTTCAGAAGAAGACTTCCATAAGATCCAATCTCTATGGAATAGGAAATTATTCAAAAGAAAACAAAGGCAAACAATTGATAGTCTGACCCTTGGGAGAAACATTTGCATCAGAAAAGAAAAGCAAGACAGAGTATGGTGGTCAGCATCCTAAGGGTAAGGGTGCCCCCCTGAGATGACAAAATAACAATACACTCAAAGTAATACCAAAAAGAGTCAACATAAAATGTACAAAGTTAGCTGTCTAGGGGTACCTGGGTGGCTCAGTCAGTTAAGCGCCTGCTTTCGGCTCAGACCATGATCTCAGGGTCCTGAGATCGAGCCCTGCTCAGCTGGGAGTCTGCTTCTCCCTCTCCCTCTGCTCCTTCCCCCTATTCATGCACTCTCTATTTCAAATAAATAAATTTAAAAAAATTAGCTGTCTATAAAGGTAATCCACATCAGGTAATGGTTTTTGAGTGTGTGGTTGAGAATATTGTCTATGAGGAACGAGAAGGAAGATCAAAAAGTAGAGATGACCTCAGTAAAGGGGTCAAGGCTGGAAATGTAGATTAGAGAATCTGGTTTTGAAGCCTTGAGATTTAACCAACTCTGAGAGGATTTGATAAGAGGAATAGCAAAGGTCAGGGACTAACCGCGGTTGCTGTCATTTAGAAATAAAATGGGATTAGAGAGCAGAGGGAGGGTATGGTCATTGTTTTCAGCTGTTGCTGAGAAGTAAAGCAGGATAAAGACTTTAAAAAAAAGATCCTTGATGACCCTCAAAATTTTTTAGTGGAATTCCAGGATTGAAACTCCGATTTTAGTGTAAAAGAAGAAAATAAGTGTTGGAAAGATGAATCTGTGGATGAGATGACATATGAAAGAATGCTCAAGTCTTGTGAAAGGGGAGAAACAGGATGATAGAAAAAGCTGCAAGAGTGAAGCAAAAGTTTTTATGTAATATCGAGAAGACTTAAACTTTATTTAAAGAGAAAGGTAGTTAACAGAAAAGAAGAAATTGAAACCTTGCGGAGATGCTTGCAATGCTTGCAGAGAAGGAGAGTATCTCATTCTAAAGTCAGACTATCATCAAAACTGTCATGGGGACTGCATAGGAATTTTTCAGAGATTATCTTAAAAAGGTATGATCTCACAAAACCCAGAGTATCTTAAGCTTTGGATGAAAACGTTTCTAGGGCATGTTTAGAAACTAAAATATAAATATAACCACTTTTTTAAATTTTTCATTAACACTTAGTATTAATATGGGTAAGAACCTCTGTATTTAACAAGTAAATTCTGGCAGTTTAAATTCTAGAAAAAATAATGATGAAAATGTAAAATCAGTTTAAGCTGTTTTTAAGAAAGGTCCTTATATTTGAAATTTGTATTTATTGGCATCAGGTTTATAAAACTATATTATATAAAACTTAAAATTATAAATTTTAAACTATATTATATAAATTTAAAATTATAAATTTATAAAATGTATAAAATGTAGTATATGAGCCTTTCTAAACACGTTATTACTTATGAATTCATGAGAAATAATATTTTATGAGAGAAGAATGAGTATCTAGATTTTTAAATATAATTTTCTTTAAAAATTATTTTCAAAGTCTGATGAAGAAAAGGGACAGATAAAGAAATTTATTGAGTTGAGGGACGCCTGGGTGGCTCAGTCAGTTAAGCGTCTGCCTTCAGCTCAGGTCATGACCCCAGGGTCCTGGGATCGAGTTCCGCATCGGGCTCCTTGCTCAGCGAGGAGTCTGCTTCTCCCTCTGCCTGCCACTCCCGCTGCTTGTGCTCTCTCTCTCTCTCTGTCTAATAAATGAATAAAATCTTAAAAAAAAAAAAAGAAATGTATTGAGTTGAAACAATCTCTGGAATGTAGTTTGGATCAAGAAATGAAGAAAAATGGTGAATTAGAAAAAGAGATGACTAGGTAAGACTGTAATATTTCAGATAATTTTAACCATTAATTAACGGATTTAACTGTAATTTTACTTTATTAAATACAAATACTTGCCAAAATATTACACTTACTCTTTAATGATTCCTTAAATAATAATATAAATACATAATATAAATATATTAATATAATTATATTATATTAATAATATAATTATAAATTATATAATATATTTATATATAATATATTATATATTATAATTATATAATAATATAATTATAAAATAAATATAATAATATAAATAACATAATATAAATAACATAAATAATAACAATAGTTCCTTTAACAATAACAACTGTAATTTTCATTGTCCATTTTGAAGAGTTTCTGCAAGATATCTTTGTTCTTTGGTAATATTTCCTTTTAATAGTGTTCTTCCCTTCCAACAAGTATTTTAATATCTAAAAACCTGTGTCACTGTTTAATCATATCAAAAGTTATCTTGGTTTGGCTTATATTTTCTTTTTTTTAATATTATTTTTTAAATTTAAATTCAGTTAACCAACATAAAGTATATTATTTTCCAAGGTAGAGTTCAGTGATTCATCAGTCTTATATAACACCCAGTGCTAATTACATTAGGTGCCCTCCTTAATGTCCATCATCCAGTTACCCCATCCTTCTCCCCTCCTATGCTCCAGGAACCCTCAGTTTGTTTCCTATGATTAAGAGTCTCTTGTGATTTGTCTCCCACTCTAATTTCATCTTGTTTTATTTTCCCCTCCCTTCCCCTATGCTCCTCTGTTTTGTTTCTTAAATTCTACATAGGAGTGAAATCAAATGATTATTATCTTTCTCTGACTGACATATTTGGCAAAATACCCTCTAGTTCCATCCACGTCATTGCACGATTTCATTTTTTTTATTGGCTGAGTGATAGTCCATTGTATATATCTACACATCTTCTTTATCCATTCATCTGTCAAGGGACATCGGGGCTCTTTCCACAGTTTGGCTATTGTGGACATTGCTGCTATAAACATTGGGGTGCAGGTGCCCCTTCGGATCACTACATTTGTATCTTTGGGGTAAATCCTTAGTAGTGCAATTGCTGGGTCGCTGGGTAGCTCTATTTTCAACTTGTTGAGGAACCTCCATACTGTTTTCCAGAGTGGCTGTCCCAGCTTGCATTCCCACCAGCAGTGTAAGAGGGTTCCCCGTTGTCTGCATCCCTGCCACATCTGTTGTTTCCTGACTTGTTCATTTTAGCCATTCCAACAGGTGTGAGCTGATATCTCATTGTGGTTTTGATGTGTATTTATTTCCCTGATGCCAAGTGATGTTGGGCATTTTTTCAAGTGTCTGTTGACCATTTGAATGTCTTCTTTGGAGAAATGTCTGTTCACGTCTTCCATGTTTCTTGACTGGATTATTTGTTCTTTGGGTGCTGAGTTTGATAAGTTCTTCTATATAGATTTTGCATACTAGCCCTTTATCTGACATGTCATTTGCAAATACCTTCTCCCATTCTGTCAGTCGTCTTTTGGTTTTGTCGACCGCTTCCTCTGCTGTGCAAAAGCTTTTTATCTTGATGAAGTCTTTGTTTCCCTTGCCTTTGGAGACGTGTCTAGCAAGAAGTTGCTGTGGCCCAGGTCACAGAAGTTGCTGCCTATGTTCTCCTCCAGGATTTTGATGGGTTCCTGTCTCACATTTAGGTCTTACATCCATTTTGAGTCCATTTTTGTGTATGGTGTAAGAAAATGGTCCAGTTTCATTCTTCTGCATGTGGCTGTCCACTTTTCCCAACACCATTTGTTGAAGAGACTGTCTTTTTTCCCATGGCTGTTCTTACCTGCTTTGTCGAAGATTAGTTGACCATAGAGTTGAGGGTCCGTTTCTGGGTTCTCTGTTCTGTTTCATTGGCCGATGTGTCTGTTTTTGTGCCAGTATCATACCATCTTGATGATTACAGCTTTGTCATAGAACTTGAGGTCCGGAATTGTGATGCCACCAGCTTTGGTTTTCTTTTTCAACATTCCTTTGGCTATTCGGGGTCTTTCCTGGTTCCGTACAAATTTTAGGATGATGTGTTCCAGCTCTGTGAAACAAGTTGATGGTATTTTGATAGAGATTGCATTGAATGCACAGATTGCTCTGGGTAGTGGTAGCATAGACATTTTAACAAATTTGTTCTTCCAATCCATGAACATGGAGTGTTTTTCCATTTCTTTGCGTCTTCCTCAATTTCTCTCGTGAGTGTTCTATAGTTTTCATAGTACAGATCCTTTGCCTCTTTGGTTAGGTTGATTCCTAGGTATCTTACGGTTTTTGGTGCAATTGTAAATGGGTTTGACTCCTTAATTTCTCTTTCTTCTGTCGCATTGTTAGTGTATAGAAATGCAACAGATTTCTGTGCATTGATTTTATATCCTGCCACTTTGCTGAATTCCTGTATGAGTTCTAGCAATTTGGGGGTGGAGTCTTTTGGGTTTTCCACATAGAGTATTATGTCACCTGCGAAGAGTGAGAGTTTGACTTCTTCTTTGCCAATTCCCATGCGTTTTATTTCTTTTCATTGTCTGATTGCTGAGGCTAGGACTTCTAGTATTATGTTGGACAGCAGTGGTGAGAGTGGACATCCCTGCCGTGTTCCTGACCTTCAGGGAAAAGCTCGCAGTTTCTCCCCATTGAGAATGATATTTGCCGTGGGCTTTTCATACATGGCTTTTATGGTATTGAGGTATGTGCCCTCTATCCGTGCATCGTGAAGAGTTGTTTGTTTGTTTGTTTTTTTAAAGATTTTATTTATTTATTTGACAGGGAGATAGAGAGAGAGCACAAGTAGACAGAGCGGCAGGCATAGGGGGAGGGAGAAGCAGGCTTTCTGCTGATTAGGGAGCCGGACGTGGGGCTCGATCCCAAGACCCCAGGATCATGACCTGAGCCAAAGGCAGCCGCTTAACTGACTGAGCCACCCAGGCGCCCCATGAAGAGTTTTAATCAAGAAAGCATGCTGTACTTTGTCAAATGCTTTTTCTGCATCCATTGAAGGAATCATACAGTTCTTGTCCTTTCTTTTATTAACGTAGCATATCACGTTGATTGATTTGCGGATGTTGAACCACCTTTGCAGCCCAGGAATAAGTCCCACTTGGTTGGGGTGAATAATCCTCTTAATGTACTGTTGGCTCCTATTAGCGAGTATGTTGATGAGAATTTTTGCATCCGTGTTCATCAGGGATATTGGTCTGTAATTCTCCTTTTTGGTGGGGTCTTTGTCTGGTTTTGGGATCAAGGTAATGCTGGCCTCATAGAAAGAGTTTGGAAGATTTCCTTCCATTTCTATTTTTTGAAACAGCTTCAGAGGAATAGGCATTAATTCCTCTTTAAGTGTTTGTTAAAACTCCCCAGGGAAGCCATCCGGCCCTGGAGTTTTGTTTCTTGCGAGATTTTTGATTACTGCTTCAATTTCCTTGCTGGTTGTGGGTCTGTTCAGGTTTCCTGTTTCTTCCTGTTTCAGTTTTGGTAGTTTCTACCTCCCTAGGAATGCATCCATTTCTTCCAGATTGCCTAATTTGTTGGCATATAGTCATTCCTAATATGTTCTTGAAATTGTATTTCCTTGGTGTTGGTTGTGATCTCTCCTCTTTTATTCATGATT